GTTGGTGGGCGTGGACCACTGACCCTGTAATTCAGGTGACCTTGTAGTGGCACCCCAGCCCTCAGAGCCACGTTGGGGCTCCTGCTGAACCTTCTATGATAAAAAATAATAAAAATGAAGGGGAGACCCAAATGGGGTTCCCCAGCGGGTGCTCGCGGCAAGAAGGGGGGCTGCCTGCCCCCGTGCCCCGCGGTTCCGTTGAGTGTGAGGTGAGCTATTTGCCGGTGCACGCCTGGCAGGGCTGAGAAATGCTGCTTGGTTCAGCGGGAGGCGGGTTGCTCACTTTCGCGCGTCTGGCAGGCCCGTGGGACACGCTCGGGCTGGAGGGGAGCTGCTCGCCTGTGTGCGCGTGTGCCCGTCGGGTCCCGGGAACACGGTTGGACTGTGCTGGGGTGGGGGGTCCGCTGGCCGGCGGACACGGGTCAACTGGGCAGGGCAGAAGTGGCTCAAGCAGGCACAGTCCGCGCCTGATGACGTCAGACAGTCGCCGCTTCTCTTTTCCTGCAGGATTTTTTTTTTTTTCCCCCACCTTTAAACTAACTTCCCTCTGTCCACTGTATGCACAGAAATCCCACGTTGGGGTACGTGTCACCAGTGGCTCTCCCTGCTTGAGTCTTCCCGATACTGGAGGCTCCACACGAGCTGGTTCCCGCCCCGCCCCCTCAAGCCCAAAGGAGCTGGGGCTGCAGTGGTGCAAGTTTAAGAAGCTTGTAATTCCTCGCACAGTGATTTCTCAAAGAAGCGGGTCTAAGGCTCTGGCGCACTGAGACTCACGCGGGTCGTGAGACTGTGGGTTCCTACCTGGGAGGTTTAACTCGCGAGTTGCCCTCCCCTGATCCCGGAGCCCCCACTCACCCGCACTGCCTGACCGCCCTGGCAAACTGGAAGTCTAGGGTTGCATTCTTTAACCATACTTATTCATCCTGTATGCTTAGCAAATAATCTGAGAAGCAGGGTTATATGAAGAAAAACGTGGCATCAGGATTGGAGGAAGACTTATTAACAACCTGCGATAAGCAGATGACACAGCCTTGCTTGCTGAAAGTGAAGAGGACTTAAATATTTACTGATGAAGATCAAAGAGCACAGCCTTCAGTATGGATTGCATCACAATGTAAAGAAAACAAAAATCCTCATCGCTGGATCAATAAACAACATTCTTATCAAGAGAGAAAAGATTGAAGTTGTCAGTACTTCATTCTTCTTGGATCAACTATCAACATTCATGGAAGCAGCAGTCAAGAAATCAAATGACATATTGCATTAGGCAGATCTCTGCTACACAAGACCTTTTAAACTATTGAACAGCAAAGACATTAATTGAAGACTAAGGTGCTCCTAACCCAAGCCATGATATTTTCAGTAAGCTCATGTGCATGGGAAAGCTGTACAGTGAATAAGGAAAACCTTAGAAGAATTGATGTTTTTGAGTTACGTAAGCTGTTGGAGGAGAATATTGAAAGTGCTATGGGCTGCCAAAAGAACCAACAGATCTGTGTTGGAAGAATTGTAGCCAGAGTGCTCCTAGGAGACCAGAATGGCTAAACTTTGTCTCTCATACGTCAGACATAATTGTCTATAGGGACTGGTCGCTGGAGAAGAATATCATGTTTGGTAAGGTGGAGGGTCAGAGAAAAAGAGGTAGATCCCCAGAGAGATGGATTGGCACAGTGGCTGCATCAGTTGCTCATGCGTGGCAGTGATAGTGAGGTTGACCCAGGATCCCAGGATCGGGCAGTGTTTGCTTTTGCTGTGCATAAGGTTCCTATGAGTCAGTACCGACTCAATGGCACCTAACAACAACGACCCTTTAAACTTCTAGAGAACTCTGTGTACTTTTCCTTCTCTACTTTATGTTCCAGGCTTACTGAACTACTTTTAATTCCCCAAACATATAATGCCTTTTCAATTCTAGGAATTTATATTTGAGGGTGAGTCAAAATTTATCCGTACTCCAGTTATAATAAAGTGCCTACTTATGGCTGATAATGACATTGAGAGTGCACATGAAATAAGCATGTCTAATAGATGAGTGTCAGTGGTATGGCAAATCATATGCAAATCAGTCGTGAATCTGCTTCTGAAATAATTCAGGACAGACTTGGATTTCAAAATGTTTATGCCAGACGGATACCAAAACAACTCACGGAAGAAGCGTTTGGACACATGCAAACAAAATTTGAACCTACACTCAAAGGAAGGTAAAAATTTCATTTAAAAAATCATAAATGGTGACAAGACATGGATTCATCACTACGAGCCTGAGCGTGAACAGCAGAATATAGGCTGGAAACATCTTTAGTTGCCGCCCAAGAAAAGTTCAAAAGTCAGCCATCAGCTGGAAAATTGATGCTTACAGTTTTCTGGGATCCTCAGGGAAAACACTGTCAGGAAAAAAGTTCAACAGTCGGCAGTGCTTGTTACAGTGAGATGCTCACTGAAACCTAAACTTCGGATTAAACTCAGAGGACTACTATCCAAGGCATTGCAATTTTGCATGACAGTGCTATGTCCACACACCTCTGCCCATACTGTTGACACTGCAAAAGCTTTGTTGTGTGCTGTTAAAGCATCCTCCCTGTAGTCCTGATCTTGCAAACAGCCCTTCGAGGACGAAGATTCACCTCTGATAAAGAAGTGAAGACATGGTGCATTGGTGGCTCACAGCTCAGCATAGAACAGTTTTTAACAAGAGAGTACAATAGGTTGTTGATAGTTGGACAAAGTATTGAAGAACAAGCACAGTATGTTGAAAAAAAACGATATATTTGTCTTTTCTAAACGAGTAAAAGAAATTCTCCAGCCAGAATGCTGATAATTTTTGTCTCACCCTAGTATAACGCATCCTTTGTAGTAGCACCTTTATACTTTATTCTTGCATGTTCTTTCCATTGCCTACGCACACTCCCGCGGAACAGCTGGTAGTTTCGAACTGTTGACCCTGAGGTTCACAGCCCGATTACTTGTCCATTTATTGGTCTTTTTATTCGTACTAGATACAAAACAGGATACGGGCAAAGGTCATTTCCTTGTTTTCTCAGGGCCTAGAAGGTACCTGGCCAGTATGAAATACATAGTAGATATTTTTTAAATTAATATAAGCACATGTCAGTGTCAGTTTAGGGAAAGACATGCTAAAGTAAGTCATCTAGGATGGTGGAATTGAGCACTTGAATATGTTGTGTTAAGCAGATTTTTTTTTGCCTTGTTAAAACATTTGTGGTTAAATTTCAGATACCCTCTTTAAATGAAATGGGGAGTCCAAGTCGGATAGAGCAGTGACCTGGAGGTACCCTCAGTGTTCCTGTATAAAATCAAATAAGAATTAAGTTTGAAACTCACCATTGAATGTGCCCTTACATTATAGTTACCTGATGGTCCAACCAGTATTTTAGCTAAATTTGGTCCTTTGTATATGTTTACAGAATATTGAGTTTTCAGGTTAGAATCATCCTTTGTCCAGTTTCTGGCCTGCATATTTGCGGATCAACTTGTTTTTGCCCTTTAACATGCTTCACTTTTTTTTTAATCAATTTTAATTTTAAGAGTTTAGAAACTGAATTAGAGTGTTTAATCTATTAAAAGAATAAAACCAAAATACAATGAAGTGATAAATTAAGGTCCAGATTTTTAAAGTTTGAGTTATCATTTTAAATATTGTTCTGATATTTGTATTGTTTAAGTCTGTTTTGAGAGGTGATACAATCTAGTCATAAAGGTGTGATAGTACAAATTCAGCTCCACGAATTACTAGATCTGTGTCTTTGGCAAGTTCCTTAATCTCTGTTTCTCCGATTCCTCATCTATAAAATGGGAATAATAATATGGGCCTCATAGAGAATTTTCTATACAGAAATTAAAGAATAGAAAATATAGGAATTGTTTAGTAAGTTTAAAAATACTGTACTAAAATAAACATTTTTCCCTTTTGATAGCTCTTTGACAGATTGAGAGATGAAAATCCAGATTTTAGAGAGAAAATTATAGCAATCAACAGTGAACTCACCCAACCTAAACTTGCTCTTAGTGAAGAAGATAAAGAGATAATCCTAGATTCTACCAATATTATATTCCATTGTGCAGCTACAGTACGGTTTAATGAAAATTTACGGTAAGTACAAATATTTAAACAATACTGAGTTTCCACGTAGTTACTTTAAAATAGTTTATTTTGATTCTACTTTTCAGTCAAGTTTTCTTGAGCATGATTTGAAACCGTTTGGTTGTAATAGGTTATGTATGGTTTTTAACTGCTCCTCAGAAACTCTGTACAGGTCGCTATGAGTTGGAACTGACTCCACAGCACATATATATAGTATATTAAAGAAGCCTTGATACTGTAGTGGCTTGTATATTGGGCTCTACAGCAAGGTCAGCAGTTTGAATTGAGCAGGGATTCCATGGGAGAAAGATGAGACTTTGTGCTCTCGGCAAGATTCAGTTTTAGAAACCCTATACAGACAGTATCACTATGAGTCAGAACCGACTTGACAACACAAAGCCAGCCAGCCATAGTGTATTGTTGTTGTTGTTGTTATGTGCCGTGGAGTTGGTTCCAACTCATAGCGACCCTGTACAGGATTTCCGAGAGCAGAAAGCCTCATCTTTCTCCCGTGGAACTGCTGGTAGTTTCGAACTGCTGACCTTGTGGCTCGGCGCAGCCCAATTTCGTAGGACTTTGTTCCTTTCTTTAATTAACTTTAAAACCATTGTGTGTTTATGGAAGGAAGTTGTCATGAATTTAAGCATGTGATAGAGACAAAGGAGGTAACAAATAGAATGTGTGGAATAGGAAAAAGAGTTTACTTTGGGTAGGAGTATGTCTTAACAAAGAATGATGTTGATTTTCTTCATTCATGCTTTCAGAAGCATGGGAGTCAAAAAGTATTGCTACTGGGTTCTCTTTGTCTTACTCTCATTAGGGTACTTTCAAAAAAAAGAGAAGCTCGTTATCAAAACAGTGGCTTCACTTCAAAAGGGGATCTGTTGGACCAGTTAAATTCAAGACAGCATAATAAGTTATGGCGATTGTTTTTTGAACTCCTCAAGGGATAATCTTGATAGATTTTCTTGAAAGACCCAAGACTATCATGGGGGTGGGGGTGGTTGTTAGGAAGTTTTAAGAAAACTGAAAACTGTATTGGTGAGAAAAGGTCAGGAAAGCTGCACCAAGTCATTTTTTTCTATCATAATAATATACCCACTCATTCTTCAAATGCAACAATGCCTGTCCTAAGAGAATTTCATTGGGAAACCTCACCTCATCTACCCTTGTTGTTGTTTTTAAAGGGGCCATTGAGTCGGTACCGACTCATAGCAACCTTATGCGCAACAGAAGGAAACACTGCCCGAATTGGGCTGCTAGCCACAAGGTCAGCAGTTCGAAACTAACAGCTGTTCGGCGGGAGAAAGATGCGGCGTTCTGTTCCCGTAAAGATTTACAGCCTTGGAAGCCCTGTACAGGGTCGCTATGAATCAGAACTGATTCCGCGGCACACAACAATGACAGAGGGATGGGGGGGTGGTACGCAAAATGCAGGAGTGTTTCCTCTCAAATTATCCCTTATTTTTAGTGACCCAGAAACTCTGTCCCCACCCTCAGGAACCTGTAACAGAATATCCTTTGTATGATTCTCCCAAAAGATTACCCTTTGTATCCCCATTCTTTTACAAATGCAAAAGAAAATATCATGTTCTCTTATAGTCCAGTGAACAGTATCTTCTCTGTGAAATGTGTTGCTGGATTTTCATTTGAATAGATTTCTCCCCTTCAATTAAAACAAGTAAGAAAAATATGAAATCATAATACACCAACCTAATTATTTCATTGAAAATTTTTCCCTGTAGTATGTTTTCAGATATGATTAATTGAAACACCTAGGGACGAGGTTTTCTCTAATAAGTTATTCCTTGTCCCTGGTGACCCAGAACTCGATGTCCTATCCTCAGAAACCTGTAACAGAATATTCTTGATATACCTCTTACCAAACAGTACCTTACTAACTGCCATTGTTTTTCAAACTTGATAGACTTCAAAGCACTTCTTTATGATCAAGTGAGCAGGATGCTGTGAAGTATCCTGGCCTTTTTAAAAGACTAAAACCAGTTGCTGTGGAGCCAATTCTGATGCATGGTAATCCCATGTATTCAGAGTAGAACTGCACTCCACAGTGTTTTCTAAGCTGTGCCCTTTGAAAAGAGATCATCAGACCTTTTCTGAAGGACGTCTAGATGGGTTCAAACTTCAGACATTTGGCTTAGTTTTTTGCGGTCTAGTCTGTTCCAACCCATAGTGACCCAGTTTCCGAGGAATGGCTGGTGAACTTGAACCGTGACCTTGTGGTTCAAACTGACTTTGCAGTCCAGTGCATTAACCTGCAGCATCACACCAGGACTCACTTTCGGTTAGTAGTAGTGCAAAAACATTTGTGCTACATAGGAACTCCTTCTTTAAAAGGGTAGTTGGATTTTTTCTTCTTAAGTATTAAAAATAATAAGACATTTGAAAAATATTAACTGTTTTCATTAAGGAATTCTGGTGTATGTCGCACTATAGGGTAAACACTGAATGGCTAACTCCAAGGTTGGCAGTTCAAACCTACCAGCCACTCCTGGGAAACCCTATACAGGGTCACTGTGAATCTGAAACAACGTGACAGCACTTAATTAACAGTTTTCATTAACAATTATTTTCAAGTTTCTCTTTGAGTGTATATTATTGTACACAATTGTGAACATAGAATAATTTTCGTATTTTCAATTTTTTCTAATGGTTAATGTTTTTCAGTGATTTGATGCTATTCCATCATGTTATTATACCACACTCATGTAATACTTAAAATAGAAAATCTAGGAAATTTTTATTTCATTGTTTGAAAAATTAGGGTTAAAACAAATTTTTTCTCTTAATTTCTACTTTAGTGAGATTAATAACTATTCTTTTTATAATTCCTGCTCCTTTACCCTAATGTCTTTCAGACCAGTGTGCCAGTTTGTAAGTGTCACTGTTGTTGCTAAGCGCTGTCCAGTCGTTTCTAACCCTTAGTGACTCTGTATAGGATTTCTGAGAAGCAGCTGGTGAGATTGAACTGCCGACCTCGCGGTGCAAATGACTTTGCAGTTCAGCGCATTAACCCACAGTGCCACACCAGGACTCCGTATAAATTTCACTAGCAGTATATCAATTTAATAACTTTTTCACAGTATTACTGATAATGAGTATTTCAGCCTTTTAAAAAAATTTATAAAAAGTTATAAAGAAAAGTTTAATAAGAGCAAAAACAACCAGTCACCTTATTACTGTAACTATTATTTGTTTAGTACCTGCTTTGGGACTCAGAAATCATGCTCACTGCTTGCAAACTATGTATTTTATTTAATCTTATACAAATTTTCATAGACTGAATATTGTTCCTATTTATAGGTGAGAAAACAAGCCTAGGTGCTTAAGTAACTTGCCAATGTTTGTTCTTAAGCCTACTAAAATTTGTGTCATGTATATATTATTTTGTAATGGTGGTGGTAGTTCATATATATTTTACATGTCTTTGTTGTTGCATGCCATTTAATCAGTTCTGACTTATAGCAACCCTATATAGGGTTTCTACGAGTGGCTGGAGAGTTGGAACTGCAGACCTTACAGTAGCAGTCCAGCACTGATTCTGCAGCGCCATACCAGGGCTTACATTATCACATATATAGTTTGGGATCTTGCTTATGCTTCTTATAATAAATGTTCTAATTTTTTAACAAATAATTATCATAATGAACACATGCACAACAAAACATAGCATGTACTGGTTTTATTATAATACTTTTAACTTTGTAAGATAATCTTAAAAGGAAGGGGTGTTTGATGGATTGATTTGCTACAAACATTCTTACTTGATTATATGTTAATATAATTTACTGTGTCTGGATTTATTTGTTTATTAGTTCACATCTGTTTGTAGATTTTACCTTAGCATTTAATTTATTCTCCTTGTGGCACAGATCTTGAAAAGTCGTGCAAATTAAGATGCACAATAGTAATGACAACACTAGCGTGACTTGAAGATGTATGCATAAAAGTTAAAGAAAGTTAAATTACTCATATAATTTCTGGGTAATTTTCCTTTTTTTAAATGTATACTTTTATTTTTCAAATGGAACAATGGAATTTGATAATCCAGAAACGTGTTTGTAAACATAGCTGATAGGGTAGATATGTTCGTATTGAAATAAAATATGTAAAACCAGAACAAAGGACTCAGTTGTAAAGAAGCTAAAATCTGTTTGTTTCTATCTCTCTAATGGAAATAGGATTTTTTCTTAGCAGATGAAATAAATGATACAGCCTCCTCACTTTTCATTGTTGTTTTTTCTTTTACAGAGATGCCGTTCAGTTAAATGTGATTGCTACACGACAGCTTATTCTCCTTGCACAACAAATGAAGAATCTGGACGTGTTTACGCATGTATCAACAGCATACGCATACTGCAATAGAAAGCATATTGATGAAGTAGTGTATCCACCACCAGTTGATCCCAAGAAACTGATTGATTCTTTAGAGTATGTTTCTTTGAAATGACATATATTTTCTTTGATTACATAACTTTGGATCTAGGGTTATCTGTTTATCTCTTAGACTCAAGGGCACTTAACAACAACAATAACCTAGTCTATCTTAGTTTTTCTCTTCTTTGCTTTCCTCTTCATTTATGTGTGTGTGTGTGTATATATATATATACACACACACACACACATATGCACCTGTATGATGGTAAGTCAAAAAGTATTATTACTAGGATTCTGGTTCATACTGGCACAGGTTTATTCAAACAAAACTTGTTTAAATATTTCTCTGTGGTCAGTGGATGACCGCTGAACAAGTTCCCTCCGTAATCTACTTGGTCACATTAGAATGCTTTCAGACATAAATAAGGTTTGTTCAAAATAGTGGAAGGGTATCGGCCAAGAGCCAGTGATACTCAGGGAGGAAGTCCAAGATGCACTGAAGGAATTGGCAAAGAACACAAGGCACCAGGAATTGATGCAATCAAAATTGAAATCTTTCAAGAAAGTGAGGGGGCACAGGAGGCACTCACTCATCTCTGCCAAGAAATTTGGAAGACAACTATCTGGCCGACTGATTGAAAGAGATCCATATGTGCCCATTCCAAAGAGAGGTGACCCAACGGAATGCAGAAATCATCGGACAATCTCTTTGAATTTATACTCAAGCAAGTAAAGTTTTGCTAAAGATAATACAGAAATGGCTATAATCATACATTGACAGAGAACTTCTAGAGGTTCAAGCTGGTTTCAGAAGAGGCCGTGGAACGAGAAATACCATTGCTGATGTCCGGTGAATCTTGGCTGAAAGCAGAGAATATCAGAAAGATGTTTACCTATGCTTTAATAGACTACGCAAAGGCTTTCGATTGTGTGGATCATGACAAGCTCTAGACAACATTGAGAAGTATGAGTATTCAAGAACACTTAATTGTACTCATGAAGGATCTGTACCTGGACCAAGAAGCAGTTGTTTGAACAGAGCATGGGAACACTGAATGTTTTAAAATTGGGAAAGGTGTGGGACAAGGTTGTGTTCTTTTCACTTATTCAGCCTGTATGCTGAGCAAATAATCCGAGAATGTGGGTTCTATGAAAAAAACTGTGGCATCAGGATTGGAGGAAGACTCACTAAAAACCTGCGATATGCAGATGATACAAGCTTGCTTGCTGAAAGTGAAGAGGACTTGAAACATTTACTGATGAAGATCAAAGAGCACAGACTTCGGTATGGATTACATCTCAATGTCAAGTAAACAAAAATCCTCACCCACTGGACCAATAAACAACATTCTTATCAATGGAGAATAGATTGAAGTTATCAAGGACTTCATTCTTCTTGGATCAACTATCAACACTCACGGAAGCAGCAGTCAAGAGATCAGATGACGTGTATCGCATTAGGCAATTCTGCTGCACAGGAACTTTTAAAGTATTGAAGAGCAAAGTTGTCAGCTTGAGGTCTAAGGTGCGCCTGACCCAAACCATGGTCTTTTCAATGACCTCATATGGATGCGAAAGCTGGGCAGTGAATGAGTAAGACTCTAGAAGAATTGATGCTAGAAGAATTGATGCCTTTGACTTATGGTGTTGGAGGTAAAGACTAAAAGTGCCATGGACTGCCAAAAGAACCAATAGATCTGTTTTGGAAGAAGTGCAGCCAGAGTGTCCCTTAAAGGCCAAGATGGCCAAACTTCGTCTCCCATACTTTGGACATATTGGCAGGAGGAACAATCGCTAGAGAATGATATCATGCTTGGTAAGATGGAGGGTCAGAGAAAAAGAGGAAGACCCCCAACGAGATGGATTGGCCAGGTGGCAGCATCGATGGACTCAAGTGTGGCAACAGTAGTAGGTTGGCATAGGATCGGACATTGTTTCGTTCTGCTGTGCATCGGGTGGCCATGAGTCGGTTCTGACTCGATGGCATCTAACAACAACACTAACAAGGGTATCGGCTGGGTCAATCAAATATGAAGCAAAGATGTCAGCTCAGATGGTTTTGGAGAATTTGTTTTGGGATTCTAAAGGGGTAATCTTGACAGATTTTCTCGAAGGGCACAGAATGATCACAGAGGCTTATTAGGAAGTTTGAAGAAAACTGAAAATGCATTAGTGAATAAAAGGCCAGGAAAGTTGGATCAAGGAATTATCCTTCATCATGACATTGTATCTGCTCAGTCTTTGTGGGTAGCAAGGACTGTCCTATAAAAATTTCATTGGAATATTGAAAAGGAATATGATTTGAGTCTTTTGAGGATGTCAAAACTTGCATTTTGATGCGGTATAACTTGAACATTGCAAAATTCTCCAGGGAAGGGTAAGAAAGATGAAATCACCAGAGCTGCTGAAGGGTAAGAGAGATGGGGAATATGCTGAAAAACAATAGCTTCACATTTTGAAGGTTTCTATGATTTTATAGCAGTACTTTTTGACTTACCCTCACATGTTGAAGAATGATAATTTATCTTGAAAATCTCTAGTTTTCATTTTCTTATCAGTTTGGGTATTTTTAGAATCACAGTCTACTTATGTGCTTTGCCTTCTGGACGATAAAAAAAGGCAAGTACCTAGCACATTAGAATCAGGGAATGTAGACTGGGGAATACCATAGATACTACCTAGTATGTCACACCTCTTAAATGCATAGGCTAGGTCTTTTCCTTAGACACAGTGAGAGAACTTCAGATTTAACATAGTAAATTACTAATTGAATTTTTATTATTTATCTTCCTATTTTCCAGTCTTGTTAGTGAGGGCATACAATTTTCAGTGTTTTATTACTTCAAATAGGTTACTGAACCTTTTATATTCATTGTAAATGCTTGTTAATTTTAAAGATATATAATTAGCATGTTACTCTGTTACTTGGTTATAAATAGATCTATAATTCCTAATCTGAAACGCTTAGGGGAGAGTCACCTATTTGGGAATTTATTTGGACCATAGAAAGGAAATATATGTACGGTATAATATGTAAAAATCTCACCTAGAGCTGAGGTAGCATCCCTGACCAAACATACTTGAAATGTTTGACTATTTACACTAACACATATTTTAAAACAAAACAAAAACACCACAAGTTAGTTCAGGACAGGTTTTGCTACCTATCATATAATTTATGAAAGAACTCTCAATTTTCATATTTTTGGATATGGAAATTGCAGTTAAGGAATTGTAGACTTATAATTTGTGCTTAATAAAAATAGAGTTTAGTATATTTTTAATAAAAAATGTCATGAAGTTATTTGAGGCAGCACATGTAGTTCAAGATGTAGTGCTATGTGCGTGTGCAGATTGGTTTTTCGTTTTATAGTTAAACTTGTGGAAATATTTTTATATGCAATTTCTTTCTTTACTAGGTGGATGGATGATGGCTTAATAAATGATATCACCCCAAAATTGATAGGAGACAGACCTAATACTTACATATACACAAAAGCATTGGCAGAATATGTTGTACAACAAGAAGGAGCAAAATTAAATGTGGCAATTGTAAGGCCATCAATTGTTGGTGCCAGTTGGAAAGAACCGTTTCCAGTAAGTTGATCGGAAGTCATTTGTGAAGAATTGGATTTTTTTTTTTAAGTTTTTATTGCGAATTGAGTGCTAGTTTACATGGAAGAACATTGGTTTTACAATCATTGTTTCATTGCAATGATGACAGTGTCCTCCATACATCAGCATTCAACAGTATTTGCTTCTATTCCTCCTGTGTATTGTTTTTTTTGTGTGTGTGTGTGTGATGTACACAAAAACACTTAGGAATATATAATCATTTAAACAACCAAAGGACACATTCTGCAAGCCTGCCTCCTGACTGCCAGCACACAGCTTTTCTCTTCTCATGAGTAGAGTCCTCAGCTGCTCCCCCCTGTCCTTGTCCGTATCTCTACCTCCATCTCTGGTGTTGCGGCTTCTCTGGATAGGGTCCCACATTCCGCTCGTGCTCTTCTCCCTTGATGGGATCTCAGGTCCTCTGTTCCTGGACTGTAAGATTAACTACTCCCCACTTTTTGTTACAGAACCTCTACCTTTACAGTTGTGACTATCATTATTTAATAAGAAGAATCTCATCCCTATCTCCTTTCACCAGACTCATCTAGACAAGATGAAAACTGCTCAGTGGGGATTCTACCTTCCCTTGCACACCCTAAAACTAAACTCCCTCGTGAAAACTTGTAAGCTAGTCACTTTGCACCTTTATTGCATTTTAGGTAGCCAATGTATAAGTTGCCCATCATTATCCATGATGTGAAAATTCCTTTCTTCTCAGTTGGTATTTTGAGCTACTACATCCATAAGTATAGATAAGTTCATCAAATTTTAGCAGTTTACACTTGTTTCCTTTATCCAAAATTTAAAAATCTCATCATGCAGCCATTGAAGCTAGGTCAAATGGGTACTATCTGCAAGTTTAGGCATTTTTGTGTGTCTCTCCTCAATTCATTCAGCAGGATGCTTCACTCTCAGCTGTAGCCCTCCATGACTATATCCTTGTCCATAGGCTCAGGAGTCCCTAGGTCTCAGCATCCTTCAGACCAACCATTCCTTCCTCTTCTCTCTTATCTCCATGTTAACAGGAGTCTATGGAACGTGGTAGAACTCAGCCCATATCATCATTGCTGCTTTGTCCTCACTTCCACTCACCAGTAGACCACCGTGGTTGCCAGCAAGCTTACATGCCTGCTTGTGTATTCCCTTTGAGTTTCAGTCTTGGAGGGGAGTTTGTCCTGAATGGACTTGATTGCTTGCCTTGATGGGTCCAACAACTTGTTTGTAGCCAATCATACTGCCATTTTTGTTTTGGATTTTTCCTTCTGGTCTTTCTTTCAAGAAATACCTTCTGTTTCTCTAGCTGCTCCAGGCTGGTCTGCTTGTCCTTTCAAGTGGGAATGTCCCACCCCAGAAGGTTCAGGATGGGAATCAGGATTCCACCTAAGGTCTTATGCACTACAAAGAAAGGCTGTGCAAGAGCCTCTGTCACTGGGCAAGTTCTAGCATCCCTTTAAGGTATTATAATCAGTTATAGGCTGAAGACGGGCTTACAAGCTATCTGTAATCATGTTTCTGGATATTCCTTTCTATCTCACTCAGGTGTCTATTTTACAATGGTAGGCAAAGGGAAACCAATGTTCATAAGACAATCAAGTATCTTAACATTATTTCCCCTCTTTTATACATTCAGACTATGACTCAATCCCTGTATCATAGAGCCCTGTTGTTCCAAGGTTGAGCATACATCACTGTTTACCTCTGTCCCATTTAGCCCATGCAAACCTTCCTTTGTGTTCTCCTATCTACCTTGTTCTTCCATCCCCATCCTGTTTCTCATGTATTGCCCACCCCAACACCCAAACTATTAGTTTCTATCCCCTACCCTGTGCTCTCTACCGTCCCCTCCCTCCTACCCCTGGTAACTAGCAAAGAGTTTTTTTTTTTTCCTTTTAGTATGAGTATCTTTTCTTAAGTTTTTACAATAATGGTCTTATGCAATATTTGTCCTTTCGTGACTAATTTCACTCAGGATAATATCCTCAAAGTTCATCCATGTTATGCAGTGGCTTGCTGCTTCCTTGTTATTCTTCAAGGTATCATAGTATTCCACTGTGTGTATGTACCAAAGTTTGTTTATCCATTCTTCCATTGATGGGCATTTAAGCTGTCTCCAACTTTTTGCTGTTGTGAATAGTGCTGCAGTAAACATTGATATGCATATATCTACTTGAAACAATTGGATTTTTAAGTTACAACTGTTTAAAAGGTGTTGGTAATTGTTTAAGAGAATTAGTTACTGAGCATGACACATTGGCAAAATTGTTTTCCACTCATAGAAGAGATATTGGTACTTTTGTTTCTATTGTGATGGGAGATACATAGTAAGTTAGATCAACATTTTTTGAAAAATCCTAATTGAAAATTAAATAGAAAGCTACAAAATTATATTGAATCAAATGAGACCATGCCTTACTTGTTTAATGATTACCAAGGACCTGGACTGATACATCAACATTTTTTGGCCTTTTAGATTGTTTGCTGATAAGTTTCCCTTGCACATGTGAAGGGAAGAGAGATGAGAGTATTCAGGCTTTTAGTTTATTTCTTTTGCTGAAGCACCAATAGAAGTTGCCCCTTTAAGAGGTAGACAGTCCCTGTATAGGTCAACCAGCTAAGAAAGATAGGAGATTGCTGTGATACCTTGCTGTAATATACAGGACATATATTTGTGAATTCCTGGAAAAAGAAAAACAAGAGATACAAACCAACAGGTGAATCAAGCTAGGAAGAAAGAGTGTATTTGGTAGTAGTAGAGCATCTCTTTTGTTGCTTTTACACTTTTTATATTTTCCTTTACGGAGTCCTGGTGTGGTGCTGTGGGTTAATGCGCTGGACTGCAACATCAGTTTGAACTGCAAGTTCAGTGGTTCAAGCTCACCAGCCACTCTTTGGAAATCCTGTGCAGGGTCACTATGGGTCAGAACCGACTTGACGACACTTAACAGCAACAACAACACACCCTATGCAGTAATTTTGAGGAGGAAATACCATTTCCATCTCAGAATGCTGCATCAGTAAATAGCAGAAAATCAAACTTGAACTATCTTAAATTAGTAAAAGTATTTGATAGAAACTTAGATTTGCAGAGGGTTAATGGAAGAGTAGGTAGCCACTTGAAACTGTGTCTGCTTATTTGAGATCCTCCAGAAGAAGACTGACCCTATTTAGGACTGGGAGAAATTTTTTTACTTGAATCTAGTTTTTAGTTTTTTAAAAAAGAACTATGAAGTATGTAGTTAGGGCTAGAGATTTCAAATAACAGATTTCTAGCTTCATAATATTTCTAATCCTCCTCCCCCTTTTTTTTTTTAAATTTGTGGTATTAGGGATGGATCGATAACTTCAATGGTCCAAGTGGTCTCTTTATTGCGGTAAGTAAACCTTCTTATTTATTTAATGTTCTTTGTATTTTTCTGTTTACTGTATAGCTTTATAATTGTATATTTATGTGTGTATCTATATATATATTTACATATATATATATATATATATATATATACACACACACACTCACTGACATATATCTTAAAAGTGTTGTTTTTAATTTCAACAAAGGCAGGGAAAGGACTACTTCGAACAATGCGTGCCTCCAACAATGCCCTTGCTGATCTTGTTCCTGTAGATGTAGTTGTCAACACCAGTCTTGCAGCAGCCTGGTATTCCGGAGTTAATAGGTATATGAGGTGACAATGTCGCTTATTAAATCTGTAGTAACTAAGAAGGGAAAACAGAGACACTGACTAATGTTAATTAATCCCTCAGCCCTAATGGTACCATACCAATATATAAACAGGCAGTTTCGCTTTCAGTGGAGTCCTGGTGTAGCGCTGTAGGATAAGCACTGGACTGCTAACCACAAGGTCAACAGTTCAAACCACTAGCTGCTCCGCAGAAATCCTATACAGGGTCTCTATGAGTCAGAACTGACTCTACAGCACTTAAGAACACATCACGTTACATTGCAAGAATTGGTATATCATAAGTGATAACAAATGGTCTCGGTATTAAGAATTAACATTGACTCTCATGTATTACCTATTAGCTGCACAAATTCATTAGAGATTGAAAATGGAGGAAAACGTGCCCTTCTCAAAGATTCTCTTGTAACTCAAAACATAAAACTTGGCATATGTAAAGAAATAAAATCCACTGAGACTGGTTTACGTATTATTCCAGCATGGTGTAGTAGAACAGTTTTAGCTAATCATGAATGCCCTTCTTTTAAAAGGAAGTAATAGTATTTCTGATAATACTTAAACTTCCCAACAACTTTTATTTTTTCCTTTAAAAAAGCTGTCCTTTTTAAAGTTAAATTATTTGATTCCAAAAAATGAGAAATAATAATTATATGATTATACCAGGGGATTTCAAAAAATGGAAAAATTATTTATCTTTTAATTTCATTTTTCTACAAACTTTTTGAAACCCCTCTCACTATTTCTGGCTAAAAGGAACTCAGTATATATATATAGTTTTTTCTTAAATAT